AGGCGCCCACAGCCACTGCTTCGACACCATTCGTCTGCGGATTCGATTTGGTACAAGATTGAAGGGTCTCCTTTACGGAAATGTAAGTCTCAAAGCCCTGGGCCCAAGTACAACGTCCGTGAGAACTCGGCGTGCGCGGTCCGATTTTCGTTGTTACGTCCTCATTGATATGTAAACGTACGTAAAAGCACAAGGCGGCCACAGCCACTGTTTCGACACCATCGGTCTGATTCGGTTGAGGATTCGATTTTGTACAAGCTTGAAGGGTCCCCTTTTACGGAAATGTAAGTGTCCTTGACCCAGTGTAAAGCCCTTGACCCAGTGAAACGACCGTGAGAACTCCTCGTGGAGGGCCCCTTTAAGGTTGTTACCACGCTATTATGTGAATGTAAGTTAAAAAAAACACACTGCGCATAAGTCCACTGCTTCGACACCGATCGTCCGATTTCGTTGCGGATTCGATTTTGTACAAGCTGGAAGGCTTCCCTTTACAGAAATATAAGTTTCTGAGCCCTAGCCTAAGTATAACGTCCGTGAGCGGTCCGATTTTCATTGTTGCGTCCTCATTGATATGTAAACGTACGTAAAAAACTTTGGAACCATGTTTGAAGTATGATATAAATGAAGAAAGACATAATTACATGTAATAATAATTGCTTATTTAAAAAAAATGAATTCCATTGCAACAAAATATAAAGATGCATTGTTCTTGTCGTATATATAAAGATGAGAATTTGGATGAAAAAAAAAGCTAGTAAATAGTTAAAGTGATTTATCCTAAAGTAGTTTAAAGAATATAACCCATTATTGTAATTTAATTACTTAACATATACTGCAAATAATTCTTTAATTTTGTCTTTGTGGTTATCTGTCAATAAACTGAATACAAACATTTTGTTTATACCAACTCCTTTGAAGAAATCAATTTGTTTAATCCGTGAAGGAAACCTCACATTTTAAAATGTAAATTATTATAGAAAAGAACAAGATGTTTTTCTGAACTTCAATATACATAACCAGCATTTAGGCTAAGGTAATTAGCCTTTTCGATTCAAATGTGATTAAAAGTGACTTTGATAAACCTTTCAGAAATGCATTTGATAGTTTTTACAGGGATGTATTGTAACACCAATATTTCTTTAATTTTATTTGTATGGAGATTGGTGTGACACGAGTTTATAAGTTACGACTGTCAATCGCACGTGCACTATTTAAATCGATTCTTTTTCTTATTTAAGACAGATAATGAAGTCAGATTAATAGTGCATTTTTAAACATTTTGTTATTCTAACTTAATATACAGCAGACAGAACGTTTCATAAAAATGCAAACTAAATGTTGTTTTTTTACAAGCGGTATATATTTCAAATATTGTGCAGCCATTCAAAGCTATGGTTTACCAAAATTCCTTTATGTGTAAGCATATTCTAGTCCAAAGATTTTTCTTTTAATGCAGTCTTAACATATGTGTAATGCCTTTTAGAAAAAAAAGGAGTAACGAGAACAAATATTAGAATCCATCCCTGACATTTCAAGTTTGAATTGATTAATTTTGATTATGATATAAATTGTTGATTCTCGTCAGCTCATAGGGGATATTAACAATTTATAATTATTGTTCATTATGTGATAATATATACCTTTGTATTGTATTGAAACTAATTTACATTGAGTGTCTTCATACCATAACTGTAATAAAAAAATATAGTTTAGTACTTTGTACCCTATGACATTAACTATTAACTATGTACATCTAATTAATCAGCCATTCTCCCATAATTGAAGCACTTTTGGTTAAAAAAAATGAATAATCTGACTTTAATAAACAACGTTTTCTATGATTTGCTTTTAATGTTCAATGTGTAAAGTTGAAGACCAATGGTTACCTTTAGCAAACATATTTTATGCCATATCTTATTCTGAAACTTGTATACTTCGTATTTGAAAAGCTTGTATAAGCAAATATTTTCGTAACTAAAGATTGACATTGTTTCGATACAATGCACTAACAACTACTGTCATAAAAGTTATCAAATTATATCTAAAATAGAAGCAGAAAACAAATAAAGCATAACTTTTAATCGGTGTAACGTTACCAAAAAAAACTTCGCTGCACAAATGTTCATCAAACAGTCCTTATGATCTGTTACGCAACATAGGTGAATAATTAAAAAACATAGGATTTATAACTCAATATTTTCACTCTTTAAAATTACTTAAACAATTTAAATGTGGTATCTTCACAAACAACATCAATCATAAAACGCTGTATCAATTAAAAATCACATCAACAGTTTAATTTAGTGAGTAGTGCAGGAAAAGATATATGTTACGGAACATATGTTATGGAAAATAAAATATTATGTTTTTCACTGAAAATGAACAAGAATTCTTTTTTTATTTCACTTTTTTTGCTTTATTTCCGCCTAATTTACACAAATTCGTTGTAATGTTATAATGTTTCATGTAGTTCTCTCTTCATTTTCTTCACCAGTGCTTTTTCTTTTTTGAGTGGGAACATACTTTTTTCTGCTTTCTTTCTCTTTTAAATGATTTGTTGTTTTCCTCTCTCTGCTTTTGTCTTTCTGTATTTAAAAGCACCATTCTAAAATAGAAAATCATTGCATATTATAAATTTATCAACCTTGATACATGAACATCATTAAAATTATTTTTTTTTATCATGATTATTATTAATATAACAATTACATAATAATCATCATTTTTATCATTATTACATTAATATCATTATTAATATTACTTTTTTCATGATTTTTGTAATTCTAAAACTTTTAGATAATGTAAGTGACATAACTATACAATTTTTGTATTTTATAAATAGTAAAAAACGTAAAAAATCATATCTAAACATAGCATTTATGAATGCTAAGTTCCGTAACAAATTTGATATGTCCCGTAACGGAAAGCTGCAACCTTACAACACAATACAAATCATGTTAGACTTCCAGTTAATATTGGACATCATTTTTATATATCTTTATAATGAAAAAACTCACTGGAACAGTTTTTATAAGCAAACTGAATAAATGCATTATGGTGCTGAAAAAAGATTTCGTAACAAATTGCCTTTGACTATTTGATAAACTGTGCACTTCTTTTTCATCGAAATATGTGTTCCATGTTTGAAACCAATCATTTATTTCAAATTGTAAAATAACTATGGATAAAGTTCATATATGACACCAGATTATGATCACAAAATAATTAACTATGTTCCGTAACAAATGTTTTAAACAGGTAAATAAAAAAATAGCATCAACTTGCTACTTTTGACTCTGTGGTTTGCTGAAAATAAAGCTTGCATCAGTAAAATTTCTCATGTAAGTAACATAATCGTGAAAATATCGTTATCAAATCAAAAACAGTGGTTGCCAAAATAAAGTACAGTGATTGCCAATTACCTCCAGTTGCCCAATTGTATTAAGATGTTGCATGCATACCTATGTATCTGACGTATCATTCGGAGCGGTGATAGGCATAAAAGTCACACCGTCAATTGAACAGAAATGTGCCAAACTACTATGATGCCCCTTCTTAGCCTGTCTGTCGCAGTGCCATATACAAGTTATTGATTGGAGACAATGATTTTACATTTCGCGACATTGTGATCCTGATGTTTGACCCAATGACCTTAATATTATTAGGTGTCATTTGACCTTATTACATCAATATAGGTCATCTACTGGTAAACCAAATAAAATAAACCAGGGCTTATTTTTCTCAAGTTATCGTATGGACAAGATCAACAGGCAGTTAGTACGTACATACTGACCAATCCTATCACAGGATGGTCCCAACAAAAAAGCCATAACTTAGTCAAAATTAATGTCTGATTTATGAGTTATGGATAGTGACCTCCTAATATAATCCTCAAGACATTATCAAGTTTAAATTGAATACCTTAAGTAGTTTAAAATATTAGTGCTGCATGTAAAATTCTAACCAGGAATTGACTAAGTTTTATATAGAGATCTATATGGTGTAATCAGATTGGTTAATAATCTCTTGTACACGACTTAGTAACTCGTGCTACTACATAATATCTCGTACTCACAACTTAATTATCTCGTGCGTACACCTAGTAAAATCTAGGCCAAAGACAAAGGGTTTTCGTGGCCCCGGAAAAAATAAAAAAAATACACATTCACCCTTTTTGGAAAAAAGGGAAAAAAATCCCCAAAACCCTGACTTCCCCCCAGTATCTAAATTTAAACCTTCAGCAAAAATACTGGGGGGCACGAACATTAGAAAAAATACTTTAAACAACATCATGGCACGGCCCTGAAATTTAGAAATAAGATAATGATCGGGAATTTGTAAAAACCAAAAAAGATAACTAGTCAAAATGGGGCCAAATTTTAAGGGGAAATTTATGACCCTTAAATAAAAGGGCTTAAATTTTACTGCAAAAAAAACAAATATTCAATATTTTTCGGAAATTTGGAGAACAAAATTTCCCTTTTTTTTTTTTTTTAATTTTGGTATTTTTCCCGCATGCGGAAATTTGGATTCCCCCGGCATTTTCCTTGCCCAAACCGGGGTTCCCTTTTTAAAAAGGGGTCCCCCATTTATAGTTTTTACGGTTCACAGATTTCATCAATATTTCATATAGATATCATCTTTTCATATGACGACAGATGTTGCAGTCTTTTTGATGCTGGGTTAGTTATGTATATTTTAGAGTAATGCACACAATTCTCTGAAAGGATGAATTATTAAATTGTAGACAAAATGAAAGTAGAAAATGTTGCCTGACACAAGTTAGGCTAACCAATAATGAATTTTTAAAAGGTTTTCTGTTGTAATAAAATGCTCTTAATGGCCGAATTTGTAATAAGTAAGTGCTAAGATCATTAATTTTCTCAGCAAAACAGAGATATGTATATAATTCTAGATGTTTATACTCAATTAAGGGGGCTGTACTCTGGACTGACATAAACGTTTCATGTTAGAACTTGAAAAAGGAAATTATAAGTGTGATGTATTTTCAATACACTAAGGTGATCTGAAATATTCATTCTAGATATATTTGATCATATTACGAAATTACAAAAAAATACAAACTACTTAGATGGGACAAATTACTGAACTTTTTTTTCTTTCTCAGATTTACATCAGTGACAAAATTTATAAAGGATTCTTATTCATCTAAACTAAATCGGGGTCAAGCTGCTGTTGGATTAAGAAATGTTTGGAGCTAGTCCAAAAATTGTGTTAATCTTAAAATGAAATTGACGCAGTTAGTTATTTTTAGGACATATTTTCAAATCTAATAGGTGTTCCAGTAAGTATTTTGATTGTTGACTGTTTGAATTTTTTTCTTTTGTTATTTTCTATAGATAATTTTGTGATATTGATTTGTAGCAAAAATGTAAAGTAGTTTTCTTTCTTAGCTTTCTATGATATTGAATTAATTGCTGATTCACTTTCACTGTTTTTGTCATGTGAAGATTGATAATAAATTTCTTTGATTCTGAGAGGAAAAGTAAAATTTTTAGAAGGTATTGATGTTAATTTTGTTAACTTTACAAGAGCAATTTGTATACTGAAACATAATTTTTGAAACTTTGTTGACTAAGCCCCACAAACTCATTAATTAAAGGATAAATTTGTGGCCTAGTGATAAACAAGTCTTAGCTTCTCATAAAGCTACTACAGTCCAACCCCGTTTATTCGAAGTGCCTGGGACTGAATATTTACTTCGAATAATCGATGGGTTCGAATAATCGAAATCGAAATATTGTGATAGACGAAAACTACTCAACTTTGACCAATCATCGCAAAACTACCGTTTACAACACACTTGCTTCCTGTAATCAATTGAGAAAAATAAATATTTAAGAAAAGATGCTTAAAAATTATTGTATTGACATTGAAGACATAAATAATTGCATTTTATTTTACATTATGTATCGTTTCGTTTCGCGCAGAGCCTTGATAATGGCCGTGTCTTCACTACGGTATTTACAGCTAAACTCTGGAGTTTTCGATTAGGATAAATTAAGGCTCTCATGTAGCGTTGCAATTAATGAAAAAAATGTTTTGCATGTTTTGACAAATTCACATATACGGATTGTATAAAAATTATTGCTGTCATTTTCAACAAAATCGGACACGGTGCATAGCATTTCATTTTCGGTAATTAAAGAACACACAAAGAGTTATTATCATGATTGTCTAATTACACGCATGACTGTGGATATTTTTCACAAGTCGACTGGTCAGCGAGTGGATCTGCGCCAATTAGTCTGGCTTCGAATAATAATTAGGCTGGCTTCGAATAATAGGTGTGAAATTCTTTCATAATTGTATAATCGGGACCGAAATTTACTTCGAAAAATAGGAGGTATTCGGATAATGCATTTCGAATAATACGCTCGTATTTATATTGTTTTATATAGAGATAAAAACGGGACCGCCGATCTACTTCGGATAATGCCGGGTATTCGAATAAAGGGTTGTGGAATAACCGGGGTCGGACTGTAATTAGGTCTTACATTCTTTAAATAAGTCTTCAATTTGGTTACATTGTAGGTCTTATTTAAGTCATTATTTACTATTTCAGAGAAGAAAAAGTTTGACAGTAGACAAAAGAGATGGGTACACTGTATGAATGTTTACGAGAAGCAAAATTAGAGCGATACTTCCCTTCATTCCGAGCACAAGGTATCACCAAATCAGAAGCTTTAACACGACTGACAGCTAGTGACTATCCAGCATTTGGTATTACCTCAGCAGAGGATAAGAGACGTCTTGTTGAGTTGATTAGTATTATTAAAGCAGTGCATAATGTTTCAGATAGGGAGGATATATTATCGGGACACCACCCTGTGAACAGGTCAATACAGAATGTAAGGAACAAGTCACCAAGAAAGAGAAACAGAAGTCCAGCACAAGGACCAGTACAGGTAATGCTCTTGGAATAAATCAGTAATTTTCTTATTTGACTAATAGTGCTGTTTTTGAATCATTCTTCACTGTTGATGATCTGTATCACTCCCAGGATGTTAGATGTCTTGTAAATTTTTACTTTTCCTAAAACTTAAAATTATGCACAAAGTAGTGTTCAGTCTTCATATAATTATTATTGTTAAGCTTAGAAAGTTACAATAGGTTTAAGGATGAAAAGACTACAGTAGTGTCAACTAGTGTAAGTGAACTAAAAAACAAGAAAATTTGGACGATATGTCAGCTTCTTATGGTGGTACTGTAAATACAGTTGTTTCCATTACATACCATACCATATATGTATGAAAGTCAACAAGTTTAGTTCAGTATAATTATATGTTATGAAATACACAGACAGATTTGACCCCAAAAATTGCAACAATGTAGATGATATTGCTACCTTTTTAAAGAATTCATTGTAACTTGGTATGTTTGTAATTTCAGGTTGGGGGCCGTGCATTGTCTGCAACAAATGATGTACGTGTCCGGGACAGGCTACGTGCAAATGCCAGCAGTCACCATCTTTCAGGTGCTGGAGCTGCGATACTTGACCTAATTGATGATGAAGAATCATCGGAAGAATCGGGTGATGATTCTGAAGAGCCCGCTGATTATGAACCAGCTGTAAAACACAGTGTGACAGCATCTGTCAAGGAATTACCTGGAAGAATACGCAAAACACCTGTAGAGAAAGTTAAATATGGTGCTGGATATAATTATGGGGTGCCTGGTACGATCTTACATTAATTGTAATCAGTAGTGTAATGATTCTCTGTACTTTATAAACTTTGAATTACTCAAACAGCGCTGATCATAATTGGTTCAGTTTCTAAAATTTGCCCCCTACCAGCAAGATCATTGTTTCTTAAAGGCACATTAAGCCTGAAAATGCTGTCATTTTATGTTTCAAAACTTTATACATGTAGTTACAGTTTCCAAAATGTTATTTTTTGGCAATACTGAAGCCATCTTTTCTCTTCCAATTTGGCAATTAGTTCAATTGTAGTAAATAATATTTTGTATGGAAGTCAGAATACCACTTTGTTTACATTTTACTACCATAATCACAAGTAATTTCATAGTAAATTCATTTTATTAGGTGATCTAACATGTCCTTAATTCATTAATACTACATTATGGAACATAATTATATTTGCCCTATCTTCAGTAAGAAAATGATATTAATTTCTGACGCATAATGTGCTAGCTATTTGCCAGTACATGTATTGATTAGAATGACTAAAAAGTTTAGTTTAGAGTGTATAAATACATAAAGCTCTTTTTGGCAGTTTATGATCAATAAACTATTCGTTTAATTTGCTTTTTGATTTAAACTATGACATACCAAAGTACTTCAATTGAAAGAATAATGTTCATAATTTACCAATTAAGCTTAATTATCTGCTTAATTGTTGTTAATCCTACAAAAATAGCTTTTGAATAATCAAATTATGTTTGAAATCATTTCACAACATATTTCATCAATAGATAAGAACTATTATTTTCATTTATAATTCATGCAAGTTACATGTAAAAAACAGGACACATTTTTTTCTAAAACTTAATTCCAGGTATGAACATAACTTCTAAAAGTTGCTGTATAGTTTTCTATATTTCTGTAGTGTATATTGTCAGTAATAGCTTTACACCCTTTCATGAATTAGGTGGAACAAATTATTTAAGTAAATGCACCATGAGTCATTGTATATATCATTTATCAATTACCTAAAATTGACAGGTGGAAGTTCAGGAGCTCGACCCAAGTCACGTCCTGGTGGTGGACGTTTACATGAAGACAAAATAAAAGTGTGTGTACGTAAACGACCCCTGAGTAAGCGAGAAAGTCGCAGTGGTGAAGAGGACATGATTCAAGCCGCCAGTACAACAACATTAGTGGTATCTGAACCTAAACAGGCAGTAGATCTGACAGCATACACTCTACAGGTATTTTATATGTAGAATTTATATACATGTATCTTTATGTTACACATGTTATGAGATTTAATTGACCATTTTGTGGATCTTTATTACATATCATTTTGACATCAAGTTTAATTAGTTAGTTTAAACGTATTTTATTTCAGACATTTGCACCAAAACATATATTAAATACAATGATTATTTACATCATACAGTTAGGAAAAAGGATCAGATCCGAAAGCATACAATGCTATAATTTTAAAGGTCTTTTCCTTATATACAATTCATTCCTGTAAATTTAGTGGATTTTTAGGAAGATTTGCTTTGATGCTTTTACTACTGTGGAAATTAGGTAAAATCTGATTGTGTAGGGACTAGGCTGTATAGAAACAGTGATTTCTTTTTCAATTTTAAAACAACCTGAGACATTCTGAAGGGGAAAATAACAATAGAATATCCAAAACTTCAGCATTTGTTGCTGAAATATTGTATATCATGTTAAAAATCAAAAATCAAAACACCCAAGCTTTTATCTGAATTAAATCACGTCATGTACATATCTGTCCGGACACATGGTACTGTAGTGTAGACAATTTAGGTAATTTTGATACCCTCCTTGTCAAGCCTCAGATATAAGTGTCAATACAATCAGAAATAAACAAAGTAGTTTGTTAGTTAGGAGAAGAACCTAGCTGAACTGTGTGTCCATTTTTTTTATCTCTAGGTTAAAAATTATGAAATCTGTACGGAAAAATGTTTAAAAAGTGTCCGACCAGTAGCTAACAATTAGTGAAACTGAAAAAGCCCTAACATTTTCTCTTCTTTTACAGCATGAATTTATATTTGATGAAGTATTTGAAGAGAAATGCACAAATGAAGATGTATATATACGAGCAGCTAGACCTCTCATTAGCTGCATATTTGATGGGTAAATATCTATAGTTTATTTTTTCTAATAAAAAAAGTTTATTTCTTAACCCATTACTTCATGAGCATTTTGTGAAAAATGGCTGTTTTCATTGAAAAGTCTCCTGTTACAAGTTCAAATTGCTACAATACTATAAAAACTGCTTCAACACTTATCAAACTTGGCACAAATGTTGACTGGACCATTGCCCTTGCAACAACATGCTCAGGCTTAAATTTTCTGTTACCATGGCAACAAGGGGACATCTCAAAATTGCCAAAAATCACTATTTTGCGTTGATTTTTTCCATCAAAATTGATTTCAAAGTGCTGCAACTTCTCAATGGATTGAGATAGAGTCAAATGCTTTTCAGCGTTGCTTACACGTTACCTTATGATCAATCTGGGGTCATTTATAGCCTCTCACAAGTCCAAAATTTTCTTTTTTTTAACAACATTTCTCAAACAAAAACAAGTGTTGGGAGCCTAAATAAGGCATTTTTTCACCATTTGAGACAACAAAAAGGGGGGGTGAAAAGGGCGTTAAAAGGCGTTTATATAACGTAATGGGTTAATCTGATAGACTCATGTTATCACGAAAACTAGTACCCATTGAGCTATTGTTTTGACTTATATTGAAACTTGAAATTATTCCTCATGTTGTCTAATTTTGAATTAGAGTAAAACATAGGTCTATCATGGATTTTTACTTAACAATTCCCCAATATTTAGTTACGCATTGTGTACAACCAGATATTTCCAAAGATCTTCTTTTATTCCTTTATCAAGCTCAGAGTATTGTCTTGCACAAAGCTCTTGATTTGCATATTCAGCATAGTCCATGTTTTTTCTAAAAAAAGAAAAGGCAAACATCATTTTGTTTGACTAATTTCAAATGTATTTTTAATTAATCTTCACATGTATTTCTAATGTGATGATTATTTTTATATACAGTGGGAATGCCACCTGTTTTGCATATGGTCAGACAGGAGCGGGGAAGACTCACACTATGATTGGTAACAGAGAGATACCAGGGCTGTATCTGCTAGCGGCACATGATATATTCTCTATCATAGAGTCTGGACAGTATGGTGAAGGTATTAAAGTTTGGGTCAGCTTCTTTGAAATCTACTGTGGTCAGCTGTTTGATCTTCTAAATAAAAGAAACAGGTAATTATGACAATGTTTTCTTTCCTACTATGACAACAGCTTGTTTTAGAAAAAAAACAATCTAACGAGAAAAATGAAGTTAATAGATTGATGAATGTGTGAGTGCAGGTAGCTGAGTGTTAGCAGTTTTTTCTGTGTGCAACTTATGCTTCATTTCTTCAGGGATTTTAACGAAACTGTAACAGAAATCTCATCATTAAGAGCCATTTGGCATGCTGTCAGGGGTTTGTGATCTTTTCATGTTTGGTTTATGATTTGTTTATTTTTAGCAGAATTATGTGGGTCTTTTGTTTTTGTCACATATAGTATACTGCGTAATTCTCTTCTGGCACCGTGTTCACAAAGAAAAGATCAGGATCAGTCGATCCTGATTTTATTTTCATTGTTTTATAAACTAAAACTGATCGTATTATGCTAGAAGTAAATGGTAAATATTCGAAATATAAATAATTGCTTATTTGCAAAGAAACCAACCTGTTTTGGAATAACAAAACAAATACAAAAATAATCAGATCAAAATTTGGATCAACTGTAAAATACCCATATCTTGTAAAAATAACAATAAATTCATTCCAAAATTTCATAAACATGCTATTTCAGGTCCAGTTTTATCAAGATATTTCTGTAAAATTAATCTATGAGGATAAATAAGGGGGAGAATATTTCAGTTTTTAAATTTGATCCTGATCTTGATCTTTAAATCTTTGTGAACACAGGGCCTGGGCATAACTCCTCCCCTTTAGGGTTTTTTTACCAAACTAATTCTGAAAATTTGTCATCAAGTGGATTTCATTGTGATAGTTTTTAGATACATATTTTTATTTTCATATTAATGATTCAAATGTCACACGTTAATAGAAAGGTTTAAACTTTACTTCTATTCATTACAGGTTACATGCTCGAGAGGATGGTTCCAAGCGTGTTTGTATAACTGGTCTTACTGAAACAGAAGCAGCTGATGAACAATCTCTCATGCAGGTAACCAGCCAATCATTATTATTAACAATAAATATAGTCAAAAATCTTATAGGAAATTTATGTGTGTACTAAAAAATCTATGACTTTTTTGTCTATGACAATGAGAAAAATGTGATTTATTTATTTATTTTCTGTATGAAAGTAATTTAAACTATATGTAAATATTTTTGAACACTACTAGATTTTGTTTATCTGTTTTCTTATTATAAATGAATAAAAACAGAACCAGCTCAAAATATTGTAAAAGCATAATGAATATTTCTTTACCAGTAGAGCTAGGAAGTGTCACTATAACACACTAGTCGCATATAACCCAGATTCCAACCCATAAGAAATATCAAGGATTTTAAGATTATTTAAGCCCTGCTTAAAGGCACACACTGATGGGAAAGTCAGATGTGAATTTCATGACATGTCAGCTACACATATTCTCTGGGGTTTTTTTTGGTACCACCACAAAACAGAGACGAAGCTGTGCATGGACAGATGGAAGGTAAAAAAAGTCATGGTTGTTATTCATTAGTACATAGTTGTATAAATAGGAGAATAAAACATGTCCCACCCTTTTAAAAAAAACAACAACAAAAGACAGGGAAAAGGTTAGAAAATTGATGTATTCTACTATTTGATTATTCAGGTTTTAGAGTATGGTAATTCAGTAAGGAGTAAAGGAGCTACAGGAGTCAATCCAGACTCATCAAGGTCACATGCAGTATTACAGATGGAAATAAGGGATAGAGCAGATAAAAGACTTGGCAGGTAAAGTTTATAATTTTTTATAGATGAAGGTTTATACACTTTCCTTGTATTGTTAATTCAGGGCTCCAGATAATATATGATGCATACTTGTATTACAGTAAAAACCTGCAAAAGTTTATTGTAATTTCTTTTGCTTGTTTGACACCCTTGGTTTATACTCTTGCATTAGGCATTTCTGCCTTAGATTTTAGACCAACCCCTGTCATGGCCTTACCAAGCTGTTTTGATATTTGAAAAGCAGGGCTTTTTCCCCCTAAAATATGAAGGTGCCATTTTTTATTTGTGAAAGGCAAAGCACGATTAGTTTTGAAAATGTGAAGTTTTTGTGTATATTCCTTAAAATCATGAAAGAAGAATTGTGATATTGACACTACTTTTGAAAGTCAACTTACAACCCACATTTTTCTTTATTTGAAAAAAACAAGAAACACAACATTTACTTGAAATGTTTACATAGCTCTTATTTTATCAAGCTGTAAATAACTAATATTTTTGGGTATTAAAAGGTGACACTGCTTAATATACTAAGATTTTTTGTTGTTTTGCAGCATCAATGTAAGTAATGTTTGGTTGTGAAAGTGGCATTTCTTTCAGTTGTGAAGCTGGCATTTTAGAAATGTGAAGAGGCCTTATTCAAATTGTGAAGGGGCCTTATTAAGGCCCTTGTTATAAAGTGCGAAAAAAGCCTTGTCAGGAACTTTTCACCAGTTGTTTAAGAAATTGCATCAGTTGTACTACTATATGTATGAAAATAATCTCTGATTTTCAAAACTACAGTACACACTTGCAAATCTGTGATCTTTATCCTCTGATTCTCTTGACAATTAAGCAAAGAATCAATTTCCTTGTGCATTTGTCAGAGAGATGGTATATATATATAAAGCAAGTGAAGTGTTCATTTGTAAATAACAGAACAAATATGTGATATATAATATATGTACCAATATTACAGGATATCATTTATTGATCTGGCTGGTAGTGAGAGGGCCTCTGATTCTGCTGATACAGATAAACAGACAAGGATGGAGGGGGCAGAAATCAATCAGAGTTTACTTGCTGTAAGATATGAAATATGTCTAGTGTCTGTATTAATTTTATTAGTAAATATCATTCATTACTGTACAGTAGTCTTTTCTATAAATTTGAGATTAAACATTAAAAAATTTTTATTTCAAAATTTCTTACAATATTTGCTATACATGTATTCCTAAAGTGATTTTATAAAACAATGTAAATGCATGTATTGAAAACTTAACCATTTTCACACATGACTCATTCCTGCAAAACCCAAAATATTCTTTAGCAAAATTTTTATGTTGAATATATGTACTGAAATTTTGTGATTATTGTGATTTTGTTCAACTTGCCAGCTGTGATTAAAAATGATTTTTTTTTTCAAAATACTTAGTTTAACATATTTGATATTGACTTAAGCATTATGGTGTTGATAAAATGGAAGTTCAGATGTAATAAGTGCTAAAAACTGAAAAGAATACTAAATAAAATTATGGTAACAAGATATGTCATAGATGTTATGTATTCTGCCAAAAGCTTCATAGATACTTAACTCACAAATGTTCACTTGCTTTAAAGATTGAAGCATAAGATGTTAGCCAAAATTATCTTTCCTGTTTTGGCACCATATGACCTAAACTGTGTTAGTGTGCAGTAAAACCGAACATTCAAACACAAATTTTCACATGATTTATAGTGTTTATACAAATCTATCTGTATCTTAAAAATAATTATTTGAATTATTATTTCATTTCACACTTTTTTTTCCTATTAATTTTTGGAGGTGTGTGAACAATTCCCTTAAATCGTTATGTTGCCTTATTGAATTATGATATAATTTCAGCTGAAGGAATGTATACGATCTATAGATCAGGAGAGTCGACACAAGCCGTTCCGTCAGAGTAAGCTGACACATATATTAAAGGACTCGTTTATTGGCAACTCTAAAACATGTATGATAGCTAATATATCACCAGCCAGCTCATCATGTGAACATACCTTAAATACACTCCGATATGCTGACAGGTAAGACACGTGTTACTACATTATGATATGTACCGGTATGTAAATTGGCTAAGTGAAATTTATGAAAGTGTTGTTTAAAGATATTTGGAATTCTTTTTTGATTGCAAGAATATGTAATTTAAGAGTTTACAGTTCTTAGAAAAAAGATTAATAGGTAATTTATAGTCATAACTTATATTACACCAGCATATCTCCAAATGAAAAAAGTAAATCTATATAAAACCAAACTCCAGAGAGATATGTGTCTAGTTTAAAAGACAAGTGAAGTATTTTTTTCTGATTCAGTAAGTAAAGGCCACTGGCCCAAAATACATATCATACAAAAAGATTAACATTAAGGTTGTGTTGTAAGTCATACGACAAATTCTTATTACATGTATTTATCTACTATGTTATAAAGATCGTAAGATGATAAAAATGTCAGCAGAAATTTTCCAAATTACAGAATTAACATTTGATGATAGTAATTCTTTAAAGTTATATAACTCAGTCCCAGAATTATACAAATTTAGTAAAAAGTAGTTTATAATTTCTGAATAAAAGCGTGGTATCTTCAGTCAATGTGAAAAGTGCAAAGTTTTTTTAAAAGCTGCAAAAGCATTCTCAAAAAGCTATATTTAAATGCCTACCATTTTCAGGATTAAGTTTGTGGTTTGAACACTGTAGTTGTTTTAAAAGATGACATACTGCATTTAAATTTTGAAATAATTTTAATGATGGCATCTGCTTGGGTTATTTTTTCATGCCAGTTTTGAAAACAGCAATCAATTAAGCAATGCCTGAAACTGTTTACCAAAATATTAACGTCTGTTTTTTGAGAAATCTAGGTATATATTATTATATATTGAAGACAATTTTAATGTATGACAATAATATTGTAAAGTGAGTTTTAAGGATCTTTAAGTTATATTGTATTAATATGTAAAAATAATTCCATAATTTATACTTTTAATTAGTTAATGCAAAATATTTTTAATGTTCATAATCCTGTTCATTTATATTGTTTTAGACATATATGATTGATGTAAAGCGCCTTTGAACATTTTAATGAAAAGGGCGCTATATAAATGTGGTATTTATTATTATTATTATTATTATATATAGCCTTATCCATGACTGTATTTGAATCTTGCTCGGTCAACAAGTCCTACCAATGTTATCTAGTGATTTTAACATTAAATAAAACTGTTTTGGGTAGTGACAAAGTGACATAATAATGGATGTAATTTATACAATAAATAATACAAAGCAGAAATCTACTACATACTCCTAGCACATTTATTTTCTCATCGTATGTAAAGCCAAAGCCATGAAAAAGCCAGTTGGGTTTGAAAGAATAAGAAATACTTTGAATCATGATAAGTCTTTGAAAGTATGACTGAAATAATGGAATAATGAAAGTTTGTTTGAAAATACAATTCTGATCATTGTTTTACAGAGTGAAGGAATTACGTCGAGGTGCCCAGTCAGCTGCAGCCACTAGCAGAAGTACAAATGTAGCTATGTCTAATATACTGATGAATATCCCTGCATCAGCACCATCTATCTTTCAACCATCTAATATTCTATGCTCATCTACTCCAATGAGACAGAGTACACGTCAGTTTACAAATAGAAACACTAGTGCAGATTTACACTTAGATCCTAGTGAAACCCCAATCAGGGGTCCAGGAGCACGGAGGAAAACATCAAGTGCTGTTTCAAGAAGTGAATCCAAGTCCCAAAATTTTAGTCATAGGACAGGAGCTAGTGTTAATTCAACAAGTGCAACAAGTAAGCCGCAAGTGACTCGGCATTTTGCCTCAAATGTGATAAATTCTAGTAATAAACAAAATTTGTCGTCTAATAGCGAGTCGGATCAGACTGAATCTGATTCATGCAACATGACTGGTCCACAGAAACCTGGCAATCTGCCAAATCAAATGTTAAACATTGAAAACCAGTCTGTGAATAGTAAAAATACTTACACTCGTAAAGATATGTATGTCAGTAAAAGTTCAAATTTAGGTGGTCGTACTCCTGCATCAAATACAAGTCAAAATATACCAGTGGTCAAATCGTCTGATACAGATAACGATTTTCCTACTACAGATTTCAATAATGAGGAAGAAATGAATGACTTGAACCGTACTGGTGAAAAAAACAATGTTGCGGCTAGTGTGCCAGTGTTTCCTTCGACAAAATCTAATAAGTTAGAAACACAGACTAGTTCAAAAGAAGGTAGAGAACAAACTGTAGTGCCTGGTGTTACAAAGTCTCCTGCACAACAAAGACTGTCATCTGTCTCTGCTAGTGTACCAGTCCTTAGAAAAAAGATATACATGGAGAACCAGACTGATTCTCAAAATGATGTTCAAGGTCAGACTGAGCTTCCCCAAAGTGAACAGAGACAAAATGATATAAGCTCCAGATCTAATACAAATTCTGGGAATTCTCAGACATACAGAAATTATACTCCATCTAGTGAAACCAGTCAGATACCTACACCAGCAGCCACTTCAGCGTCAGTGTCTAAAAGAAAAGATGTTGATGATGAGACTAAACCCAGTGAAAATAGACTGAGGTTGAAGATGCCATCCACTCTTACTGAAAGTTTTAATGACGACTTACTATTTGATTCTCCTTCAATAGATCAGAGGGTTTGGACTCCAAGGACTCCTAGTGAAAATTCTGGAACTCAGCCCAGAATTCCTCAAGACCCTTCTTTACAACCAGAAATTCCAGCTGTGCTCCCAGCAAAAAGCACTGAGCTGACAACCTTTTCTCAATCTCCAAGATGGCATTTAAACAAAAATCAGAGCAACTACCAAGGCACTGTGCAGCAGCCTCAAGGATTCAGACCTGAACCTATACGCACAATCCCTAAAGACAAACCTGAAAATAGGCCAACCAATCAAAGAAATCAAACAAATACTCAAAACAACAGTGGTGTAAATTCTGATAACAGACAACAGAGGCAGGCAGAATCTAACACTGCTAAAAAGACTTCATATGATATCCCAAGGTCAGGAAATGACCCATTTAATAATGTGACCTCTCATAAGTCAGCCTGGACTAATGATAGTGTTAAACCAAAACAAAAGGCAGTAGAACAGGAGCCTATTAGTGCTAATTGGTTTGAAACACCTGCAGATCATGAAACCCACATTACAGAATCAGCCTCAGATAAACTACGGCTACAAAATACTGAAAAGAAATTAAAGTTAAGAACTGATATAGGAGAATCAGGATCTGGTTTGAACTTACAAGATTTTGATGATGACTATTTGCCGTTGGCAAGAAACATGGACAGGAATAAATCAGCTCATAGTGATAGTGGGATTTTATCAGCAGTTTCAGACACTGAAAGTAAACAAAGTCAAAATACAGCCAGTAAGGGTAACATTCCAGGTGGCAATGCTGCTGCTTATAAAAACTCAAACTTTGCAAAGCCTGGTTATTTTAGTGATACAGGAACTGGTGCTAATGGCTTTATATCCAAGCATCGATTAGTTCATTCCCCTGTTACAACAAGACAAAGTTCAAACACTTCACCTGTGATTAAGGACTATGTCTCCTTGTCTCCAGTTAATGGGCAAGGAGCATTTATTTCAAAGCACTCGGACAGAGATGGTAATTCTTTATCACCATCAGGTGGTGCGTCTAATAATGGAATTTTAAAAACAGAAAAATTAGGAAAAGGGGGTACTATGTTTTCGCCCATACACCCACAACCAGTGACTAATAGTAAGGTATCTAAAAGTGTGGCTGTAAGTAAAGATATTGTGCATCCTACACCTCTTGGTAAAGTGTCGGCATCAGTCGACACTCCACATGATCGTCAACCATCCTCACACAGCAGTAGTGGCAGTACAAGTAGTGATGTTATTGACCTCAAGTAAGTTTTAAAATATATTTGTATTGTTTTTCTGATTTAAAAAGTAAAAAGCAACTTAATAAATATGATTTATGACAAGACAGCTGTGATGGAGATGGAAAATCATGTCGGCCTGACTTCCTACTTCTTTTTATGGGGCTAGCAAGGTAGATTCAATGAATCACAAAATACACACTGCCCTTGGTTCAACATGTACCATGTAAGAATGCTTTCCTACTAGTTTACAGAAATTAAGATGTTCTACTCAGATGCCTGCTTGTGTCTGAACCAAAACACATCTATAAACCAAAAATGATATACATTACAATCCGTACAGAGCAACCATTTTGAAGAGAGAAAAAATGTAATTGTTGTTTAGAGTTTTTACTTTTAATATTTTTTGTGAAGTCTAACTTTGTAAATTATTGATACTGTTATTGTAAACAGTTTCCTCTGCAGAGGTTGCACTGAAAGATGAAAGGTAAGTATAGGTCTATCAAATATGAGTACATACACCAAAATGAGTATTTGTACTCTTAAATCAACTCTCAACAATTCTTACATAGCATTATATTCATTATGTGTTTTGAATTTTTTCCTTCTAGGTCACAGTTAATTACCTCCCATGAAGACCAGCTTGCAACAGTTACTTCCCTTTGTAAACAAGAAATGAAGTTATTACTTGGAGCTAAAGCTGGTAACAAGGTATGTAAGTCCTTGAGAAAAGATGGCTTTTTTTGTCAGAATAATTCTTACGCTTAAAATACATGTTACTTGATTTCCAGGATTGGTTATTGACAAAAATATTGTTAGCCAAGAGCTTCTTTCTTCGATAACATGTTCAGAACCTTTTTGTGGCTCAACAGTTGCCTTTAAGGACTGAGGCATCAAAATTTCAGCCACCGTTTATCCCTGCATGATAGTAAGAGGCAACTAAATGGGTTCAAAGTACTGGAGTCTATGCATTTTTAGCTCCAGCAGGTGAGGCGGTTTTGACCCATGGTGTTGCTTAAAGTTTGAAAAACACAAGGTTGGCCAAAATCACATTTCCAGTTTTGTAGCCATATGACCTTAATTGTGTTTGTGCACAGCAAAACCAAACAAGACATGTTCAAAATGTGAAATATTTAACAAACTGTCATTGCTTGATCATCATATTGCTATTTTATTAAATTGTTTATTTATAATTGTATTGTTAATAATTATTAAACAGGCCTTCAAAGTAGAAAAAAAAACTATTTGTTGCATAAGTATTGGCATATCTATTTTCACAATTCTGGTTTTTCATAGATTTATTGTGGTCTACAAACAGGCAAAGCACGATTTATATTTATATTAAGCTCTGTAAAACACATTCTTTTTTTATTTTCACTATGACCTTAGAAACTTCATACACCATTTATGTCCATGTTTGGCTGAGAAGCAAGCACATGGAATACAATATATTTGTATCTGAACATTATCTCCAGCTTCAAAATGTCTATAATTCCTTTGACTATAAATATACACTACCCCCAGCATTCTTTAACATAATATTTCTTATCTATGTTTCAGAAATTTGATGATTACATGAAAAAAGTGAGTGAAGTATTATCCCAGAAAATGTCTGCCATACAGCTTTTGCAAGACCAGATTATTGCATACCAACTCAGTACGCAGGATGATTGATAGTGATTTTTGATTACAACATTTTGCCAACAAAAACTGGTTTATCATGGCTATTTTGAGTCAAGTCAATGTAACATCTAAACAAAGTGAAATTATTCTCAGTGTGGATTACATATACATCACATGAGGATGCTTTTTCTGAATTATGGTTTCGTCTAGTTTATCCAAAAATCCATATTCAGTGATATGAGTGGGACAGAAAAGAAGAACATTTCGTAAAGTGGTTGTTACTGGTAAAAAATAAAGCAGATTGAAGCAGTCCCTGCAGTTGAATGTGGAAAGCTAGTCATAGGATAATGTTGAATAATTTTTGTCAACCTTTGCTCATAGTTTGATATTTGATAAATTCTGGACACTCCTCTTTCTTGTTATGTCCTTAACCCATACCATGTTAAAATTGTACAATGGATTTTTATATGAAAATGCTGAAATAAGCAGCCAAAAATTGAGATATTCAGGCTGGCCAGGTTGTATATTTGGTTATCATAGGCATGTCATTATGACCACTAGCATTCCAATTTAAAGCCCAAGCCTAAATTGCTTGCAATTTGATATAGAACTCAAATGTATTTCATAAGTGTAAAAAATATATACAGCATCTGATGTTTTAACATAGATATAACTGTACAGTCTGTTGAGATTGATTAAATCATCTGTCTTGAAATATTGTGATAAAAATGCAACTTCAGAGGAGATAAAAAATGTGATATTTTGTTCTTAAGATTTTTACATCCATATGTATATGTCAAATATGTTTGTTATGCTTGGCTTTTACAATGTATATCTGTGTTAAATTATATGTATGGGAGAGATGTATGTGTAATGTCAGAAAAATATAATACCATTCCGTTATTAAAATTACCTTACAAATGAACCTGACATGAATATTGATTTATTTTTGTCATGTAAAAAATATCTGTTAATATCAGTTAGTTAATACACAGAAGATATCAATGTTTGTAACCATGTAGTCCATAGGAGAAGCAGGTTTCCTTGTCAAAATAACTGCTATTTGGAAAACTGTAAGCAATTGTTAAGTATAGGAAAATGCATTTTATTGTTTTACATGAAAGATTGTAAAAGCCTAAAATGTGTGCCATTTTAAAAATACAAACAAGATCATATTTGTTTGTGTTTTTTTCCACTGTCAATATTGACAATCTGTAGGAACTTTACAAAATGTCCAATTTCATTTTTACATTAATTGCCATAAGCACAATGTTATTCTTACCTTACTTATAAACTAGCATTGTTAACAATACAGTTTAGTGTATGTCTGGACACATATTGGTAGTACATGTATTATATCCATTTTAAAACTGTTTTTGTGATCTTTTTTTGGTAAAATATTAAGAAAACTGAAATGCCCATTATAAAATTATATAATTCACCAATTTGCAAAAGGACATTATCCTTGTGTTTCCCATGTCGAATTTAAATACACCATCAATGTTTCACACAGATAAGAATATTGTATCTACTTTTGTCATTGCTTCTTCTTTTTTGCATAAAGCGTTAATACTCAAATCCATCCATAGTATTTTTGAGTAAGAATTCATGTTGTTTTTACTGTAGACTAATGTTGAAAGGTTTAAAGTATATGTATAATGACATCTACTATTATTTCTAAGTATTTTCAGGTACCACATTAGGCATGCTGGCCTTTATTTTTTTATCTTTTTATTCAGTAGTTATGTGTTTGGCAACATAACAAAGGTTGAGTGTGTGATATTTACGTCATTCCGTCCATTATAGAACCAGTAGAAAATAAAAGCTTTATTTTGTATTTTTAAGCCATGAAAACCTATTTGAATGTTTTATTTTCAAAGCTTCTTTGTCAGAAGTGGCATTGTATCTTGCTGTGATAAAATATGGCTAATTGGTGCCTGAATTTTAATTTTATATGTGTATATGTGACAGCAGTTTGTTCTTTATTTCATTTCCAAGTTATATACTCATCAAAAAATGGCATGTAACTTACAGTAAGCAACCATAATCATAATTAAAAAAAAAACACAAAAATCATTTCTCAAAAAATATTTATGTACCATCTTAAGAATTAAGTCATATCAACTTTTACACAAGAATTTTTATTTCACTATCTGGGTTTTGGCAAGAAATAGAAGATTGGCCTATGTTCAATTGAAATACATGTATGTAAGAATTAAATTCACATTACAGGCGGTCCTTATACCAAAGGTCACAAATCATTATAACTGAATTCTGCAATTTAAATGGATATAACTTTTGTGGATGTAAAAAAAAAATGTTTTGTGTTATATGACATTATTCCATAAAAGGCAAAACAAATGTTTTTTTGAATTATTGGAAAATTGTGTTGTATTGAAATTATACATGTACAACTTTTACCCATATGAGCAATAGATATGATTATGTTCAACAATGTTGTATAGTTTATTGAATTATAATGAAACAGAATTAAACTAAGTGTTATTCACTAGAAAAATTACTTTTACGTAAGACATTTATATTGTGTGGGAAGACATCTTCTCAATTATAACTGTTTTATTTATTATGATAACATTTGAATAGGATTTTCTTCTTATTAGTCCCCTACCGGTTTACCGGAGGGGACTTTAGGTTTACCCTCCGTCCGTCTGTCCGTCCGTCTGTCCGTCCGTCTGTCAGTCCGTCCGTCCACAAAACTGGATCCCGCGATAACTTGAAAAGTCCTGAAAATATTTTTATGAAACTTGATATATGGATAGATGGCAGTATGGAGATTATGCACGTCTTTTTCTTTTCTTCCTATGTTGAAAATTCTGGTTGCTATGGCAACAAATAGGCTGAAAATATGGCAAATTTTACACATAAACTGGATCCAGTGATAACGCAAAAAGTACTGGAAATATTTTTATGAAACTTGATATATGGATAGATGGCAGTATGGAGATTATGCACGTCTTTTTCTTTTCTTCCTATGTTCAAAATTCTGGTTGCTATGGCAACAAATAGGCTGAAAATATGGCAAATTTTACACATAAACTGGATCCAGTGATAATGCTAAAAGTACTGGAAATATTTTTATGAAACTTGATATATGGATAGATGGCAGTATGGAGATTATGCACGTCTTTTTCTTTTCGTCCTTTGTTGAAAATTCTGGTTGCTATGGCAACAAATAGACTGAAAATATGGCAATTTTTACACATAAACTGGATCCAGTGTTTACGCAAAAAGTAATAGAAATATTTTTATGAAATTTGTAATATGTGTAGATGGCAGTCTGGAGATTATACACGTCCTTTTCTTATCTTCCTATGTTGAAAATTCTGGTTGCTATGGCAACACATAGACTGAAAATATGGCAAATTTTACACATAAACTGAATCCAGTGGTAACTCAAAAAGTACTGGAAATATTTTTATGAAACTTGACAAATGGGTAGATGGCAATCTTGAGATTATGCAGGTCTTATCAGTTCCCCCTATTTTGAAAAAATATTGGTTGCCTTGGCAACAAATAGGCTTAAAACATGGCAAATATAACAATATTTGTGACTAGTCAAAAAGAGCTGAAACTTTTTATGAAATTGCATCTTTAATTCCAGAGTTATCTCCTCTTTAAGAATTTTGCTTTTTAAAATGTTATATTTTGGTAACAGGGATGTTTCAAATATTAATACTTTAGAGTGTCCTTCAGTTCGTCTGTCTGTCTGTTCATAAAAACTTTTTCCTGTGATCACTTTTAAAGAACATTTCCAACAAATTTACTTAAAATAGAGAAAAATTTACACATTAGTGAATGGCCAATGGCCCTTCAGAATGCTGATGGGGTTCTATCCGGTAGGGGACTTATGGATTGCTTGCAATACTATGATAATTGCTTGTTTTATTTTGGTATATTTATTTATTTATTTATTCTCATTGTTAGATGTTGCCATTAGTTTGCCATTAGAAAAAGGCATTTTTTTCTCACTTATTTTGTCAATTCAGTATTACTTCCTGAATGACTACATGTATTTAATACTACTGTTAAAGGTGGTGATTATTTTGAAACTTCTTATTTTGATATTTGTCTCTCTGTATACTTGCATAAATGATCTTTTAAATCAATGACTGTCCACTGTCTGTAATTGTTTCAAGTGACACCTCTGAAGATACAAATGGTTAAAATTCCAGGGATCATGCTTAGATGTTCCTTGCATGAAGTTTTTTCTGAATTGTTCAATTTTGAATGACATTGGTCCATTTTATGACTACCAAGGTTACATTATGCTAATATAGATTTTGAAAGTTGAATTTTTTATAAATCTTTCTCAAAAATTAGAGCTTAAATATTAGGTATGCAGCAATATTTAGTGGACCATTACCATGTTTGTTCAAATCATAATCTTATGAATGGTCACAACCCAATGGTCACCAAGTGATTTTATGAAGATAAATATAGGTTAACTAAACCAAATGACTTCCTTATGATTGGAAATTTTGCACACAAGTTATTAGTCTAGACCTAAATCAAGTTGAACATTAATCTCTAAATTTATTTCCAGTCCCTTCACGTCTAAATAGACCTCAGTGGAGTCCTTTGCAGTAATTTTTTAACCATTTGATCAAATTATACCCCTAGGATCACAATTAGTCAAATCCATTTTTAGCTCAACTATACGAAGTATATGGAGAGCTGTCCTACTCGCCCCGGCGTCCGCGTCCAGATTTTAGATTAAAGTTTTGGTGCAGTAAAATATTTTTCACTATAACTTTGTCATTTCTTAAGGTATCAACTTCAAACTTCAAATATATGTTCCTTATCATCAACCACATCTTATGTGACAAGGTTCATAACTCTAGCACCAATATTTTCAGATTTATCTCCCCTTGAACTTAGAATTTTCCTTAAAAAATACTATTTCTTACTGTTTCTTCTTTATTTCTTAAGGGACCAACCTCATACTTCAAATAAATTTACATTATCATCATCCCCATCTTATGTGACAAGGTTCATAACTCTAGCACAAATATTTTCAGATTTATCTCCCTTTGAACTTAGAATTTTCCTTAAAAAATATTATTTTTTACTGTTACTTATTTATTTCTAAAGGGATCAACTTCATACTTCAAATATATTTACGTTATCATCATCCACATCTTATGTGACAAGGTTTATAACTCTAGCACCAATATTGCAAGAATTATCTCCCCATAAACTTAGATTTTTTTACTAGAAAAATGTTATTTTTTATTATAACTTTTTTATTAGCTCACCTGTCACAAAGTGACAGGGTGAGCTTTTGTGATCGCTTTTCGTCCGGCGTCCGTCCGTCGTCCGTCCGTCCGTAAACTTTTACTTTAAATGACATCTCCTCATAAACCACTAAGCCAATTTCATCCAAACTTCACAGGAATGTTCCTTTGGTGGTCACCTTTAAAAATTGTTCAAAGAATTTAATTCCATGCAGAACTCTGGTTGCCATGGCAACCGAAAGAAAAAACTTTAAATATCTTCTTTTAAAAAAACGTAAGAGCTAGAGCTTAGATATTTGGCATGAAACATCTTCTAGTGAGTGTCTACCAAGTTTGTTCAAATAAAAGCCCTGGGGTCAAAATTGGCCCCGCCCCGGGGGGTCATTGATTTTCCCTATATACATATAGTAAAAACTTAAAAAATCTTCTTTTAAAGAACCAAAAGAGCTACAGCTAAGATATTTAGCATGAAACATGTTCTAATGGGTGTCTACCAAGTTTGTTCAAATAAAAGCCCTGGGGTCAAAATTGGCCCCGCCCCGGGAGGTCATTGATTTTCCCTATATGCATATAGTAAAAACTTAAAAAATCTTCTTTTAAAGAACTCAAAGAGCTATGGCTAAGATATTTAGCATCAAACATGTTCTAATAGGTGTCTACCAAGTTTGTTCAAATAAAAGCCCTGGGGTCAAAATTGGCCTGCCCCAGGGGGGTCATTGATTTTCCCTATATGCATATAGTAAAAACTTAAAAAATCTTCTTTTAAAGAACCAAAAAAGTTAAAGCTAAGATATTTAGCATGAAACATGTTCTAATAAGTGTTTACCAAGTTTGTTCAAATAAAAGCCCTTGGGTCAAAATTGGCCCCGCCCCGGGGGGTCATTGATTTTCCCTATATACATATAGTAAAAACTTAAAAAATCTTCTTTTAAAAAACCATAAGAGCTAGAGCTTAGATATTTGGCATGAAACATCTTCTAGTGAGTGGCTACCAAGTTTATTCAAATAAATGCCCTGGGGTCAAAATTGGCCCCGCCCCGGGGGGTCATTGATTTTCCCTAAATACATATAGTAAAAACTTAAAAAATCTTCTTTTAAAGAACCAAAAGAGCTACAGCTAAGATATTTAGCATGAAACATGTTCTAATGGGTGTCTACCAAGTTTGTTCAAATAAAAGCCCTGGGGTCAAAATTGGCCCGGCCCCGGGGGGTCATTGATTTTCCCTATATGCATATAGTAAAAACTTAAAAAATCTTCTTTTAAAGAACTCAAAGAGCTATGGCTAAGATATTTAGCATCAAACATGTTCTAATAGGTGTCTACCAAGTTTGTTCAAATAAAAGCCCTGGGGTCAAAATTGGCCCCGCCCCAGGGGGGTCATTGATCTTCCCTATATGCATATAGTAAAAACTTAAAAAATCTTCTTTTAAAGAACCAAAAGAGCTAGAGCTAAGATTTTTAGCATGAAACATGTTCTAATAAGTGTCTACCAAGTTTGTTTTAATAAAAGCCCTGGGGTCAAAGTTGGGGGGGCCTATATACAGGTGAGCGACCTCAGGGCCATCATGGCCCTCTTGTTTTTAAAGGTATCTACCTCTAACTTCAAATACTTATTCCTTATCATCAATTACATTTTATCTGACAATGTTCATAACTCTTGAAACAATATTTACAGATTTATCTCTCTTTGAACTTAGGATTTTCTTTAAGAAATATAATAACTTCTTTACTTTTTAAGGTATCTTCTTCAAACTTCAAATATATATTTCTTATCATTACACAAATGTTGTGTGGCAAGGTCCATAACTCTAGCATGACTATTTCTAGAATTATTCCCCTTGATCTTGGAATTTATGTTAACAAATGTTATTTTTTTACTATAACTTAATACATAATTATACATAATTGATTTTTCTTTCATAGTTTTGTCCTCCTTACTGTGTCCAGTATTTTATTAGTCGAGCTTTGCTGTCTCCTGTGACAGCTCTTGTTCTCTATAGTGTCTATGACCTAGTGACCTACTTTTTCACACTTTTCGAGCTAAAATCTTCAGATTTAGACCACACATACAGTGATGTGTGTTAGAATTTACTTTGACATTTGATGACCTTGAACTTTAGCCAGTGACCTACTTACAGATTTTCAATCTATGGCTCTGTAAATTTCGAGCATTTCAAACAATGGTTTATAGATTAGGGAATGAGGCCATTATGGCCTTCTTGTTTATGTTTAGTTCTGTAAAGTTTCTTGTATTTTATGGAATGTGGGAACAAAATTGCCTTGTATGCATTTATGTTAAAATGATGAAATAAAATGTTTATTGTTGTGTTTAGAAATTGCTATTTCATAAATATTAGTGAAATA